CAGGGCTCCGGGGAAACACAGACTGCAGAGGTCGGGTGGCACTGCTTCAGCACATCCAAATCCACATGGACCCTTTCTGCCCAGTGCGTCCGCCAGATGTTCCCATGTGTGGGGATAGTTAACTTAGGGGCACGTGTATCCTTGCCCCCTGAAATCCTCAGGGGGCAACAAATTGTGCCCTTTCCCTGTGTGTGATGACAGGACTCAGGTGTAGCCTTTGTCTTTTCCTACTTCTAGGACAAGTTAATGCGAGTGTAATACCCTTGGGCACTGACTGGACAAGCTGGTGCGGAGTGATGACTGCCAGACTGGCATGGAGTGTGTTTAGGACTCCTGGCATTTCTCCGTGCCCATGGGGAGCAGGTAGTGGGTACACAAGCCTTCCCTGCCCAGTGCAGGTCAGGTGATTGGCCTCCTCTGATTTCTGACTGTCTTATATTGCAGAGGCTTGAGAGTTCCTAGAAAGAGCCAGAGCAGAAGCCGAAAGGAGTGGAGCTTCAACTAAGGAGAAAACCTGGTTTCGGCTCTGAGCAGGTGTACCTGTGATGCTTTTTCTGTGACCCTTGAAAGAACTCTCCAAAGCTGAGTCTCTAATCAATACTTGCAGAGCTAAGCGTTGACAGGATAGCATGAAAAATGGAAAACAAAAGAGTTGAACGCAATATCTATCTGTCAATTCTTTAAATTGCTGAGCAAATATCAGAGACGCTGGATTGTATGAAGAAGAATGAGGCATCAGGATTTGAGGAAGGCTTATTAACAACCTGCCGTATGCAGAGAACACGCCCTCTCTTGCTGACAGTGAGGAGGACTTGAAGCACTTGCCGATGAACATCAAAGCCGTCAGCCTTTGATATGGATTACAAGTCAGTGTAAAAATCACCTACTGCCACTGACTTAGTCAGTGCCTACTCATGGTGACCCTACAGGGCAAGGCAGAACTGTCCCGTGGGTTTCCAGAATGTAACTCTTTACAGGAATAGAAAGCCCCGGCTTTCTCCCGCACAGTGGCTGGTAGTTTCGAACTGCTGACCATGCAAACCATAGCCCAACTCATACAACTAGACCACTAGGGAACATCATGGTAAACAGAGAACAGATTGACGTCATCAAAAATTTTATCTCGTTTTCGTTATTCAACAATTCAATGCTCATGGAAGCAACAGCCAAGAGATCAAAGGCACACTACATTGGGTAAACCTGCTGCACAAGACCTCTTGAACGTGTTGACGAACAAGGAGGTGACTTTCAGGACGAAGGTGCCCCTGACGCAAGCCGGGGTATTGTCCACAGCTTCACGTGCACGGGGAAGTTGGACACTGACGACGGAAAACGGAAGCAGGAGGATGCGTTTGAACGATGGTGCTAGCGAAGACTACTGAGAGTACCACGAACTGCCAGAGGAACAAACCACTGTCTTGGAAGAAGCGCAGCCAGAGTGCCCTCAGGCACAGAGGGCGAGGCTTCCTCTCAAGTACGTTCGACGGTGTTGTCAGGAGAGACCAGTCCCTGGAGAAGGACATGCGGCTGGGTGAAGTGGAGGGCCAGCGAAAGAGAGGCCTACCTCGGCAAGACGGATTAGCATGGCGCTGCCACAACGGCTCACAAGTCAACACAATGGTGAAGAGGGCACAGAACCGGACAGTGTTTCACGCTGCTGCACCCAGGGTGCCTGTGAGCTGGAACGAACTTGACGGCGCCTAACACTGATTCTTCAAACATTACCTCAGGATCTGGCTCCTACTGACAGGGCATTACTTCTGTTCCGCATCCTGAGAACTGCGGCGGCGTCCCAATTACTTCAGCCAACATGGAAGCCCTTCAGGAGCCATACCTCAATTTCTGTTTTAAACCGCAGTTTGAAAACTGCTACTGAGAGAGGGAAACACTGGTGGCAGTTTCCTTTAGTGTTACAGATACAGCTCTAACTTGCATAGACCGGGAAAATATAAGATCTTTGAGTACAGCACGTTCACATTTCCTTGTGGGAATTACACATTAACCTGGTGAGTACTACCAAACAGGCAGCTGTTTACTGCGCCTGGCGTTTGTGCAAGACAATGAAAGAAGGAAAAGCTGTGTTCCTTGTCCTTGGCGTAGCCTGTAATTTAGTAAAAGATTTAAAAATGTACATTACTAATTAAAGCCAGAGTGAGCAGACTAGAAGCATAATATAAATTCGGTGTTACGAGAATTCTGGGGAGGGTTCGGCTAACTGTGCTCTGGACAAGGACTGGTAGAGATGGCATTTGAATATGTCAAACCAGACAAATCCCCCGCCATCTCGTTGCACAGAGCGCAGTGTCCGCATGGGACAGAGCACAGCGGTCCCATGGGGTTTCCAAGGCTGGGTGGGAAGAGATGGCTGCGTCTTTCTCCGATGGTGCAGCTGGTGAATTCAAACCGCCGACTCTGACCGCTGCACCACCAAAGCCCCTGAATAAAGCCGGAGGAAACTCACGCTATTCCACCAGGATGTGGCGGCCCTTTTACATGAAGGAAAGCGTTGTAGCAAAGGCAGGTGAGCAGGCAAAGGAGCATGGGGAACTGGAGGAACTTGAAGTAACCGGATCTAGCCGAGGGTCAGGCTCCATAAAAGTGAAGTACGGCAGTAGGAATCTTGATTTGGAAAGGTCAGGTTTGGCCAGTTCTTAATATAAAAAGGGAAATGCAGAAAGCTAGATTTTAGAACTAGAAAGGTAACTTTGGAAATATCCCTCTCAGGAATTATTTTTCATATCATGTTGTTACACTTTTGAAGTGAGAACCATTTTATTAGCAACTTTATTAGAAAACTGGGTGCCGTAACTTCCAAGAAAAAACAACTTGGCTGCTGGGAAACAAACAAACAGTTTTTCTGAGCTGGCAAATCCTTGGCTGCAGCTAACTGATACATTCTTATTACCCCCACCTGTTTCATTCACTGGCTTTTCAACTCATGAAATTCAACTCATGAAGTAGTTCCTGGACGGCTACTCTAGAACTAGAATTTGCTCACTTTTTTCCCAATCCCCTCCTTGTCTGCCCCAGCTTGCCTGTTAGCCAGCCACTCACTCATTCCTCTCCTGTATTCAACACAATAGTATTCAGAGATACTATTTGCCGAGTGTTTGCTATGTGTGCCAGGTACTGTGATGAATACTTTCCGAACATTATTTAATATAAGCCTCAAAACAGCGCATGAAATAGCTATGATTACCCTGACTTGATGGGTGAGAAACAAGTTGAGAGACGTAAAACAGCATGCCAGCTGGGAAGGGGTAGAACCTGTGTTAGACCAGATTTGCTTGGCTCCAGAGCTTCTGTCATTTTCCACTTTGCCTTACTCTCTCCAAGGAGACCTGTGGCACAGAGGTTAAGCATTCCACTAGAACCCTGAAGATTGGGTAGCTCAAACCTACCAGTCACTCCACGATGTGGTAGCCTGCACCCGTCACAATGTCTAGCCTGGGAAAGCCCCAGGGGGCACCTACTCTCCACAGCTGGACTCAAGGGCATTGGGTTTGGTTTGAATACTGTGTCCAGTACCTTTTGGCTGCTTACTGAGAGCTACACTCATTGAGCCCCTATGGTTGTAATATGCTGTTAAAAGTGGCGCCAGAGATCCAAAAAGACATGAGAGAATGCAAAAATATGAACATCTGGGTCATATCTGCTTATAAAATCCTATGTCTATGATTCATGAATTAAAGTAAGGACAGAGGAGGTGAAATCGCTCTGTAGATGTATGTTGGACAGTGACAGCATCTCCTCACAGGCAGAAAATCAGCCAAACCCGACTGCTGCCTTGCAGAGAACTTTAATAACATTTCAATCCCAATCTGTAAAAGCTGTGTGCTGATGAAAAATCTGCCAGAAGTTCATAACTGAATCTGCTTACAATCCATTTTCAATGGACCCTGGCTTCCTTTGAAGTAAGCTACTAAAGCATTTTAGCCAATAAGTGCATTGTGAGACTACTCTTTGTACAGTTTATTACTGATGAGTAAAGTTATTTGGTTAGAACACAAGTTTGATATAAACTACTTCTACCATGAAGTCTGCATGAAGTTATAAAAAGTCATTTAGACAAAGAAAAAAAATTCAAATGTGTCATCGTTTTAAGCTACCTACGTAATACTGCCTTCCCTAACTTCTGAATGAGTTCTCTGCTTAAGGTTTTAGGGGATTGGTTATATTTTAGGAGCCCTGGTGGCATAATGGGTTGCTAACCTCAAGGCTGGCTAATCTGAAGCAGTTCAACACCACCATCCTTGAAACCCACAGAGGCAGTCCTGTGTGGTCTGTCCTATGTGGTCGCTATGAGTCAGAATCTACTCAATGGCATTGAGTTTGGTTTTCCAAATTTTGGAGTTATCTTTTAAAGGTGCCCTGGTCTCAGAGTGGGTTATGAGTTGGGCTGCTAACCACAGGGTCAACAGTTCGAACCCATCAGCCCCTCTGTGGGAGAAAGATGAGGCTTTCTACTCCTGTCAAGATATACAGCCTTAGAAATCCATAGAAGCAGTTCTACCCCATCCTATAGGATAGCTATGTATAAGAATTGTCTCAATGGCCATGAGCTTGAGTTTTTCTGAGTTACATTTTAACAAATAACTATAACATAATAAAAAAAGTGCAAAAAGAATTGGGTCAGATGTTCTCAACAGCTCTCTTTAGATTATAACCATAAATACCCCAGGAAGCATTTGGGCAGAGTCATAATTTTGGCAACAATCTGCCTACTCTTTTCTCTCTACAAGGCACAGTATTCTTATCGCAGAATATACCACTCTAAGACTCAGCAAAAGATTGCAGTGGCAAATACTAACTTTACTCTGCAACCTAAACTCATATTCAAAAAATAAATTTTAACAACTCCAATTTTTAAAGAGAATAAAAGTCAAGAAGAGAAATCATTTTAAAAGTGCAAGAGTGACCAAAAAAAAAAAGACACCAAGACTCATTTGGTTAACAAGCAGAAGCTCCAAATCACAGACGTCAATGGCATTGGCACTCACTGTTCAATCCGAGGTGACAAGTACAGCTTGGGGTACACCTGAGTGGCTTCCGTGTCCTCAAAACTGACAGAAAGGAGGGCCACATCTTCCCCAGGGTCTTCATTTACATCCTTAAGTAGAAAATGGAAAACAATGTGATTAGCATCTATTCTCTTAACATGTGATTGGTGACAAGCTCGCAGCCACCAGAATTGTGGTCACTGGCTTTGAGTTCTGAATGTCCCGCCGAGTACTTCACCGCCCCGCCTAGATGACGACTTCCAGACTTTCTCAGGAAAGCTTGCCACAGGGAGGCAAAGGACCCCTGGACCACCTCGCTCACTTATTCTCACATCTCAGGGGGAAAGCTAACCTGGTGAAGACAAAAAACTAGACAAAAATGTACTTTAAAAATTATAGTAAACATGTTGCTAGTAATAGAGCTGAGAGGCTTATAATTTACTTCTATATGGAAAATATGAGTAATAAACACCATTTATATTATAAAATACCAACCAACATTAGAGTATCCAGCAATGTAATTACACCCACCTTGATGTATGCTGTAAGTTATTTAAACAGCAAAGCCTTCACAAGACCTCTATCATTACAGCGTGTGTCACTGTACAAGCAAATGGTGGGTGGGGGTCATGACATATATATCAACTTTAGTGAAATGATTATGGCGGGTCCATATATGAACCATAAGGCATGTATATCTTAAAAGGGTAAAATACCCATTGCTATTCAGCAGCTTTTGTCTCATAGCCACCAGACATGGGGTTTCTGAGGCTAGAAATCTTCATGGGAGCACCTTTATCCTGCAGAGCTGCCGGCGGGTTTGAACAGAAACACTGGCGGTTAGCAGCCAGTACTTACCCATCAGTACCTTACAAGTCTAGTTAGAAGAAACTTACAAAGCAAACTACTGTTGTTGCAAATATATGAGGGGGTACCCCCCAAATGGAATTTCCCCCCTAAAGCTATGTATTTAATTTTTTAAACAAAACAACCTTATCACCTTCAAAGTGCTCTCTATTACACTTAATACATTGTTAAATCTGCGACTCCACTCTTGGAAACATTTGTCAAATTCATTTGTTTGGATGGCTGAGAGGACCTCCCTTGCTTTTTTCTTCACCTCTTCTACATCCTCAAATTACTGTCCTTTCATGTTCCTCTTCATTCTCAAAAAAAAAAATAAGTCCCACGGAGAAAGGTCAGAGAGGTCAGGTGCATGGGGCAAGAGAGGCATATTGATTTTTTTGCCAAAAACATGTGTGCTGAGATGGCTGTGTGAGCAGGTGCATTGTTGTGGTGGCAAAACCAGTCCCATGTCTGCCACTAATCAGGCCTTTTTTGTTGCACGCTCTTACACAATCTTTTCAGAAAGCTTGATTAACAGACCTGGTGGAATAACTCCAAATGCACTATGAGTTGACATTTTTGTCCATTCGGGAAGTTGACAGATGTCCAGAATGAGGATTATCATCAATCGACATTTCACCTTTTATGAAACAAGAAAACCACTCATACACCTGAGTTTTTCCCACAGCGCTCTCCTTGTAAGCTATGTTCGGCATCACAACAGTTTCTGCAGCATTTTTCCCAGGCAGGAAACAAAATTTCACAGCAATACACTGTTCTCTTAAATTGGCCATCACACACAAAAAAACAAGGTTCGAATGAAACAGGTTTTATGGAAAAAAAAATTCACTGTGAGCAAAGAGAATCTTCCCAGGCAACATCACTGAGTGCACTAACTCAGAGTGAGTTGCTTGATGATTGCCTAGTGGGGAAAATGTAAACTCTGAAAGCTCCACCCAGTAGAGCTTTTTTCTACTGTTTTTTTTTTTTTGGGGGGGGGGGAATGGAGGGTACCTCCTTGTACATCATGAAACATTGTGGGTTAACCGAATAACCAATAACAAACTAAACTAATGATAATTAAGCTAACCTTACTGTAATTTATAATTTAAAGCAAAAATAGCAGGAATTGAATGCTATAACTAACTGGCATCAACACTGATGAAGTGTCCTGAATCCAAATTCTTGGATGTATAACTCTAAATGCATGCTCCAAGCACTCACTGTGTGTTAGACTTTGGAATACAATACTGAAGTAAAATAAATTTGAGGAACATGCTGATTTTAATGCTTTCATAACAATAATTAATTTTTGGTTGGCATTGGCTCTGAGTAAAATGTAATTAAAACAAACAATAGAATTGTACACTTCATACCCATTGGAACTGTTAAGAACTGCGCTACATTTCTGGTTTTGTTTATAAGCACTCCTCAGGATGGCTCAGGACCATCGCAGGGGTCTCAACAGAAACTTTCTGAATCACTGGATCTCAGAGCTGTCCTCTCAGCTGTCAAAAACTCCTTTTACATTCTTTAGTTTTTAACTTTTCACCTTATTTTGGTTTCACATTATAGAATTTAGGCATTTAACAAGTCAGGCAATATAGAAGTCTTTAAAGAAAAAGCTCTTCTGTCCCACCTCACTCCCCTTTTACAAGTTAACCAGTATTAGCTGTTGTGTAGCTTCTAACTTCTCTATGCTCATACAAACAGACAAACACACAGACACACTTGCATATAAACAATTCTGTAAGCTTTTTGTGTTGTCTTCTATAATGGAATCACTCACATCACTCTTCTAATTGCTTTTTAAATAGCCATATAATATTCCATGGCATGGATTTATTTTTAATTAAACCATCCTCCTAGTAACGGACATTCAGACTGGTTGCCTAAATTCAAGTCACAGCCTACTTGAGAGTGATACAATCTACAGCCTGTGTCCTTTGGTAATGGAATTTAGGAAAGGCTAACTAAAAAGTATTGATACAAAATCATAGACACTTTTATTAAATAAGAATATGAACCCTATGGAGAAAGAATGAAGAGGTTTGTTCTCTACCTCGAACGAGTTTTAACACAGACTTGATAGGAAGAAGCTCCTGTGACCAAAGATGTTTTCAAACTAAGTGCTGACTCCTTGCTTCCAAGCTCCAGGATCCGCCTGAAACACCCGTTTCCCTATATCTCGAGGTTTATGAAAAGAGAACAAAGATTAGAAGTTTGAGTTTATCTAATGTTCTTGCCCATTTTCAGATGATAAAGTATCCGATTTTGAATTTTCCTCTCTGTAAAATGAGGGTTAAAAAGTTTTCCAAGAAAAAAAAAAAGTTTTCCAAGTATTCAGGGGTCTCAACAAATGATACGTAACATGATTCTAATACTCATTAAATATCTGAAAATTAAAATTGAACTTGAAAAAATCCACACTCATAAAGGTAAATTCATTTTATAATCTAAGTGTGGAAGCAACTCTCTTTATAATCAGATTGGTCACCTTAAGAAAGACAATAAAAAACACCAACACTGACTTTCAGGCTCCTTCTTCAAACAGCTGTTTCCAAGTTCAAGTTCAAGGCTGAAAGCTATGACCATGGTACCCAAACCCCACAACCAAACTCACTGTTTATTACAACTGCAGTTGTGAAAACTCACTGCAAATAATTTGAGACCCTAACAATTCTTTTTTAATTAGCAACTTCTTTCTAGATGCCTACAGATGATTTAGAATTAGTTCCTTTTTCTATCTTTTAACTTCTCATTTTACCACAGTTCAAGCAAAGACCAAGAATGCTGAGAGACAATCCTAAATCAAATGGAACGACTCCATTTATATAATCCATCATCTGGCCTCCAGTAAAGTGCCTGAAACATCATTTCCAGGACATTGTTTTATGAACTACTTTAATCTGTGTGATTCCTCTTGGTGTGGCTCATGAATTGGTATTTGATTTCTAATGGATACCCAAGTTTAACGTTGAGTGCTTAAATAAGCCCAAAGAATTCCAAAACTATAAGTCTACACTGCATTGTTTCCAGTTTCTGCAGCTCTAACAAACTTGTGCATGCGTTCTTTCCCATCTGGGACACTGTAAAAGAAGCTCTGGTACCATGATTCTTAGAAGCTAACATTACAGATGATTGTTGTAACCACTAATGGCAGCATTTGGAAAACAAGGGTGGTTGCAATGTAGTAAGGGACATTTAAAACATCTAAGTATACATTTTCTGGGCTTTTTATCTGTGCAGTTTGAAAGTGCATCAGGCTAGAATTTGTGTTGGAAGATGCTGAATCTGCTAAAGCTAAAGAATATTATCAACTACCTTTATGCTTGATGTCAAGAATGAACCTACATATGGCGAGGCAATAAACAGTGGCCACATTTAAAAAAAAATCATTTATCACAATCCATACATTCATCCATTTGTGTCAAGCACTTTTGTACATTTGTTTCTCTCATCATTCTCAAAACATTTGCTTTCTACTTGAGCCCTTGGCATCAGCTCCCCATTTTTCCCCTCCCTTCATGCTCCCCTCTCCCCCATGAACCCTCAAAATTTTATAATTATTATTCGTACAACTCTTATCACAATCCATATATACATCCATTGTGTCAAGCACTTTTGTATATTTGCTACCCTCATCATTCTCAAAAAATTTGCTTTCTACTTGAGCCCTTGGCATCAGCTCCCCGTTTTCCCCCTCCCTCCCGCTCCCCTCTCCTGCATGAACCCTGGTAATTTTTAAATTATTATTTTGTCATATCTTACACCATCTGACATCTCCCTTCACCCACTTTTCTGTTGTCCATCCCCCAGGGAGGAGGTTATATGTAGATCCTTGTAATCTGTTCCCCCTTTCTCCCTCACCTTCCCTCTACCCTCCCAGTATCGCCACTCTTGCCACTGGTCCTGAGGGGTTCATCTGTCCTGGATTCTCTGTGCCTCCAGTTCCCATCTGTACCAGTGTACATCCTCCGGTCCAGCCGTATTTGTAAGGTAGAACTGGGATCATGATAGTGGGGGGGAGGAAGCATTTAAGAACTAGAGGAAAGTTGTATGTTTCATCATTGCTACAATGCACCCTGACTGACCCGTCCCCTCCCCGCGGCCGCTGTGCAAGGGGATGTCCAATTTCCCACAGATGGGCCCTGGGTCCCCACTCTGCACTCCCCGTCATTCACAATGCTATGATTTTTTTGGTCTTTGATGCCTGATACCTGATCCCTTCGATGCCTCGTTATCTCACAGGCTAGTGTGCATC